CCCTGCCATTCTGTGAGGCACAGAATGCATGGCCTACTGCAGCGTCACATTTCAAATTTCTCTAAAAATGTTCCAATTAAAAAAATGCAATGCCAATAGACAGAAATTGTTGATTTAAATTTCATACATGTTTTTCAGACAAGTCCATTCACGTGCCCACCTGCACGCTAGATGCACCACTACAGTCAGTGCTAACAGCTTCGCTTGCGTCAATTCACTAAAACTAAGTTGCATCTGAACCAGCCAATGCAGTCAACGAAGCCTCCAAAGGGATTCGGCTGACCCGCCACTAGACATCTATTTCAGGGTAAGCTGAGCAGCTCGGCAGCCTCTGTACAGCAACTGCACTGGGGAAGTCTCCACTGAGCACAATGACTCCTTACAACAACTGAGGTCACATGCAGACTCCTGAATTTGGATGACTAAGCTGTTGTCTGCAATGAGGACTGGTTTTATTCATAGGAAAGAATGTATATTGATCATATTATGATGAAACTGGGAGTACCCTCTGCCTTTGTCTTGCACATTTATTAAATCAGAAACTGTCTGGGTTTTACGAATCCGTGTTAGTGAAAGTCTTGCTAAATTAGGACTGGGAGAATTCAAAATGTAATTGCACAACTCCAATGCACAATGTACTTCACTTTTGATGGTTTCAAAGAACCATCTGAATTTTTCTGAAAACGGATTTAACAAAAACATTACATGAAAAGCAACCTGGATTTCAGACACTTTCCCTTCACGCTTAAGATAAGGTATGTGCCTTAAGTGCTACATGAGTACGCCTCCCCAAATAATTAACACCGAAGTACCTGAAATATCAAATTTGAAAAATAAAACAATCCCACAGTTGGGATAGTTCATTAATTTCATCCAACAGGAAGAGTGTACAAAGAGAAAGCAGCTGAAAATTTAAAGACAGCAGTATTGAAGAGCTGAGTACTATTTTCTTGTTTACTAGCTCACAGTGAAGCCAAACTACAGATATTCTCTACAAAGAATATTCAAAAGCTTGAAACTCAACTTGGACCTACACTTTCTTCTAAAACATTTAAGTCCACTGAGACAAGAATTCCATGTGTTTTCTGCCTGTTTATTATGTGTGTTGTTCAGTGGTCACTGCCTGGTATTCACTTAATCACATTTTGGTATCTAGATGTAATTTAGTGATCTTGACTCAATTTTGTATTAAGTGTATAGAAAAAGGCATCTCTGGAGCAAAACTCAACTTTATCCTAAATCAGGTAACTAAAATGGAGTCAGATGAATCATGACTAAAAGTTCCTATTTCTCTTGCCTACCTATAAAAGGGGCCTTCAGTATCTAGCTGAAATACAGACATCAAAACCAGTACTGTGATTCCCACCTAGAAGGCCTTGTGTTCATTTCATCATCCGATATGCTTTTCCTTCACCTAAGAACAGGAATCACCAGCGCTTCCTATGACTCATTACAAAATCAGCTTATGATGACTGAGAAAATAAATGTCCTTTTTCTTTATATTTTGAGCCCAATTCCCTGTAACAGTTTGGTCAGTAAGGCTGAAAGCCAGATGCACACAATTCCTATTACTGATCAGTCTGAAACATGCTCACATGAATAAAGTTTTTCTCTGGCCATCCAGGTATACAGCACATGGGACAAAGCAGCAACCTACAATGGAAACTGAATAAAAAGGTTCCTGCCCTCACAGAAAACCTCTTGGGGCTGGCAGAGGAGGAAAAAACTCTTCAAGTCCAATCTCCCCAGGACACGCTCTGGCATGACCAAGTTTATGCATCTGACCACTCAGTATTACTTTCAATCATCTGTTCGGAGAGGGGGACCTTTTTGTGGGTTTTAGCAACTACCCTTGAATTACTTAAGATTGGTACTTTTCTTTTTCAAAATTATGCTCTTTTAAGTCTTCCTATAATGAAGTCACAAATTTGGGCTGGGTCAAGGTCTCAGATGTTGATCTGACTCAAGCTAAATGTCACAGGCTTTTCACAATGCACGGACCACTCCGAAGTCTTAGAGCTCCATGTCCAAAGCAAGAACTAATAAATAACTATTAACACACACACTCATCCACCCCAAAACACACACACAAACACAAAACTAAGCCTTTGAGGCTTTTGCAAAGATGCTTATAGCATCTCTTGTATGCCTCACTGTTTGCAGGCCCTGTCCACTGCTTTGGTGACATGCAGACCACTTGACAGGTGCTGTGACAGCACGCTTTGCTGGTTCCTCATTTTAGGTGAAAGCAAGATGCTAAAAGCTGAAGATACTATTGCATAAGACGAAATACAAGTGGCAGCTATAAAAAAAACAGACAAGAAAAACACAGAAGCCAGTCTGTTCTGCAGCTAGAAGTGTAAAATCTGATTGGGTAAGGCAAAGTGCACAATGTGGTCCCAGAGCATCCAGCAACGAACTCTGACTTCTACAGGTTGTGAGGCATTTCACAGTAGTGCTGACAGAGGAGACAACCTGTACTAGTCAAATGCATGTGCAGCTACCATCAACGTTACCTAACTTCACTATAAAATCTGAACTTTCATACTGAAGAACGGCCAAGTATACTTAAATTGTTCTTGCCCAGATAATTATACCTTAAAAGTGACGCTGAACTTCAAGCTAACGCATTGTGCATTTATGACACGTGCTGAAACTCAGAATAACCATCCCTGGATAAGTCAGAAGCCATGCACACTAGAAGCATCTGAGACCCCAAGCTTTGGAGTCTTTCCACTTCAAGCATGTTGTGATCTTCAGAGTTGATTAAGCAGTAATTTTCTTTAAAATTTCCTAATTTTGAAATCTGAATTTTAGGTTTTATTATTATATGCCATAAGTAAAAAATTACTTCAGAAAGACAAACTAATACTTTTGATGTATCAAAGTAACCAGACAACTCATGACTTTTTAAGACAGCACGTAGTTGCTTCATTAGATATGAAATTATTCTGCAAAAATCTACGATACAACTTGTGCAAGCATTTGTAACAGCAAATACAGAGAAAACACTCCAAAAAAAAGCCGCCAGGAGGAATTTCTTGTGCTGTAAGAATCCCATGCCAGTATTTTAATCCAACTGAACAACATAAAACTAGATAAAACTCAATTCTAGGAAGCTTACATAACCGTAACAGGACTTCGATAGTTAATCTGTTGTCTAATAACACCAATATTTTAACTTTCAGTGAATCTCTTAATCCACTGATAACATCCATACCTGGCATGCCTGTAGCAAGACCCTGACCAAAAGCCAAAGCTGGATTTGCTGCTGCAGCTGCTGCCAGTGACTCTGCCTGCTGCCCTTGCTGACCCTGATTGGGAGTAAGTGGGCGCTGAGTTGCTCCAGCACGCAAAACCTGGAAGAGACCAATACAACACCCTTTCCTTAACAGGTGAGAAAGCAAGCCCATTATATGCTAAAAAAGGTCTAGAACAGTTGCTTTGCATATTTGATGCCACTTAGCTCTGAATTTCATTTTGAGAATACGCCACCTTACTGGTTTCAAGGACATATACATACAAAGAATAAAAGGCATAAACTATTTTGCTGACAAATGTGACAACAGAATATCTGCCCTGCTCTGGACTCTGGTATGTTCCATCAATATGTATTGTATAATCAATGAGAATAAAGTAAGGAAGAAAATCTGTAAGAGTGATAAATTTATGATCTGCATTATTCATACCTGAACACCTGTCCTTTCCTGAGAAATGCATTTGTTTACATTTTTAGGCAATCAAAATGATGTAAGTCTGAATACCTCAGAGCTTGTAGTTAACTCGTCTAAATAATTAACACCACACTGCCACAATGCTGTAAAAAATGCACCCACGAAGTTTTAAGAATTCACGTAACACTCCATCACCATGCAACACAGGCTTATTTTATTATGTTCTGACAATGTATCTCTGCGAATCTGATTGAAAAGCAACCTAAATTCTTGCAACTACTCTATCCCTCTTGGTTAAAAAAATCTTTTCCAGGTCCAAAATAAGAGAGAAATAAAATTTACAATATATCCCCATAAAATATCCTACATGTGATTTGCATAAATTAGATATTAATTTTATAGAGAAAGCAAAAAAAAAAAAAACACCCACTGGAGGGATGAGACACATTCAGTTATCAGTGCAGTTCACTGATAACAACAATCCGGAGGAGGAAAGATCCACCTGAATATTAAAACAGTGATGAAGCTACTCTGGAACTTTATGGTAACCCAGAGTCACTTCTCTTATTAAGTTTATAAGAATGGCACTGAAATTTACCATACTGCTAGGAAAAAAAAAAACCAACAAAGCAAACCAAACATACACACACATTCATTCAAGCATAAGATCATGGTAAGATCTGGGGTTTTCCTTTGTGGAAAAGGCCTTTTGTTTATACTGAAAGATCATCTAATGGTTTTAAAAACACATTCAGGGTAACAACAGAAAAAGTAACATTTTTTTAAAAGTTAAAGAAATGGAAACTTCAACAAGTTCTTGTAATAACTGCTTACTAGATTTACCAAGGCAAAAATAACATATGGCGCATGGTGATGTTGTAATACAATTATTCTGTCTCAGAAAAATATGCAGAGCATTCCCTCTTCTCTATGAAGCAACAAACCTATTGATATTAATCCTCTACTTTTTAAAGGGACAAAGAAAAATGTGTAACATTGCATTTCCCAGCTAGTTAATAAATACACAGATCAATTTTTACCCAAGCTTGAAAGAAAAAATATCCTAAAATTACTGACATATCTCATTTCATCCCCTTATGTCAGCTTCCTAGATTAGTTTTCAACTTTACATTAAGTTTTGAGTAATTGTACAGGCAGCACTACCTAGACATAAACATAACAGCACAGTAACCTGGATTAAAGGAATTATTTTTAATGTTTTTTATTTCAAAATTGGGACTGCAAAATAAGCTGAATATTTAGTATGCAGAAGTGAATTTTTAAAGACTATGATAAGCAATAATGTAAGCAAATTCAGAAATTTTAATATTAATTTATTATTTGATACAACACAACATCTGAATTATGTAAAATTTTCTAGCAGCTGATCCTTATATACCGGAAAATGCACATCTTTTTATGCAGAACATACCGGTTGCTGTCCCTGTTGTGCCTGTGAAGCCGCTTGCTGATTTGCTGTGGTGTTTGCTGCTGCAGCTTGCTGCTGAAATAAATTGGCTGGATACACCCCCCACGGAACACCGTAATACTGAGGTGGAACCACAGCAGGACCTAAAACCAGAAAACATGATTATTCCATCTATTGCAGCTACTTAAAGTAATTGTTTGTATTGTTTGTAGCATCCCTCACTGATCTATCTTCTAAATGTCAAAACAGAAATCAGTATTAAAGAGAAATTAAATCCCATATTAGCCAAAACGATACATGAACACAAGTGGGTTAATTTAAAGGACTCGCATCAAACCACACCTTTTCTCTGAAAAAATACGTATCCCTGTGAGACTCGGGTGGTAAAGGAAAAACTTAAAGTAAGCAAAGCTTGTATACCAAAGAACACTCAAAGTCAGTTTCCATGGTTGGAAAAAAGATCATTTCAGAACATCACGGAATGAACCAAAGTCATCCTCCTGATAGTGATACACTGAGACTTTGATCACTCTGCCTTTCTATATGCTTCCTTTGCTAATAACCACACCGACTGCCTCTGCCTACTCTGTCACACTCTTCAGAGCGGGCACACGTCCCTCTTCCAGTCTAGTGATAAAGACTCCACAGAAGAACGAGCTCTATCACTGTATTGTACACAAAATGCGTTATGTATACATATATTCTAGTTCTTTCTACTGCCTTTCCTGTGAAACCGCCAACTGGAGATACAGGTTTTCCACGACATTTTCCAAAATGTTATGCTCGGGTCTGAGCACTAGCTGGGACTTGAATACTCAGCAGTGTGGTTTCACAGCAGTACCTATTAACCTTTTAAGTTTTCCTGGCTTGGGGTTTATCTGTTGTCTGGGCATTTTAGCACACTGCAGACCATCTTTATTCTCATGCCCACTGGGAATGAGAAAAATCTAGAATTAGAAAAACTAATGCACCGAGTAGACATACAAGGAAGCGCTAGCTGTCTTGGCTTTCGAAAGTAATACATGCCACTAATGTCAGATGAAATCTTATTAAGGATAAACGTTTTTAGAAGAAACCTAATAATTGCATATAAAAGTCCAGTGTAAAGAAATACTCAGAATCCATATAACAGAAACTGAATCTCTTCACATTTTAGTGAACATTTTCAAAACAGCAGTATTAATTTTCCTACAAGTCCCTCCTTCCTAGAAATACATTTACAAAGAATAAACAGGATGTATTCCAGCTTTTTTCTGATTTCGTTCAGTAAAATTATCACGACATACACTAGAAAGTGTTCAGTTACCTGCTAGGGTAGCTGCTGCAGCTAATCCAGCTGCAGTGTATGGGTCAGTACCTGGAGGAGCAGCACTGATAATGTATGGGTTTGGCACAAAAGCAGCTGGAGCCAAGCCTGCTGAGAATACGCCTGCTACAGTAATAAACAGAGTTTAATTATAGCTAACATACTTAGCAAGCAACATCATATTCAAACCAATCAAATCACAAAGCATATCTGTTGAAATCAGAACTGCTTGTACCTTGGAGGTAGAAGAAATGACAGAATTTCATTGCAGAAATCAACATTTCCATGTCTTCTCACCAGTCCTTTTTTATTAAGCCCAAGGTCTAACAATTTTTTTTTTTTAATTTATTTTCTGGATCTACAGACTCCAAGAAAATTTCTCTCATGTGTATCTACCCACCTTTATGTAGAAAGGATTATTCAAAGTGGAATTTACCTTGCCCAACTTTAGAAGTTACACTAGTCGTACAACTAAATCTTTATCAGACAAATCATCTAGTGTCTTAAGTGAATCAGCCAGATAGAATGAATTATCTGCTAGCAATACAAATCTCTTTTCACTGACAATAGGAAAAAAAAAAATCTAACCAGATAGTTTAAATCAGATACCTGGCTTTGTAACAGCCAGTTATGAGATGCTAATCTTACTTTCAAGAATCCACATTTGATACAAGGATTGTAACAGAAGGAGAAGACTGAAGAAACTCAAACAAAGCATCGTCACACAGAGTTTCCTCTCTCAGTCAGGTTCATGTACTTTCTCCAATGCTGAGGCAGCAACCAATCCAGCAAGCACAGCACATCAAACCGTGTTCTTCCTTCCAAACAGAAGGCTTCTTGCTAAATTTCTATTAATATGCATATCAGAAGAGGCCGCATTTGAAAAGGGCAAGACACAGCTGACTGCTCAGTCCACACTTTATACAAAGTAGGGGCTTCTCTGAAGTTTGGAAGTCACAGACAGGCAAGAAGGCAGGACTCGTGGACTCAAACATCTCCAGCTGCCACACTCCCAGCTCTAAGACTGTATTAGTCAGCTACATAACACTAAAGATCTGCCATTTCTAAACCCCAACTGTAGGCTGCTGATCCTGTCTGAACAGACCTCACAATCTAGCCAAAAACAAGCCGGCGGGAAACTCAACTGTCACCATGTCGCAGGAGAACACGGACACATCCCTCGGAAGATGCTACTTCCTATTTCTGCCTGATCCCGAGAGCTCTTTTTCCCTTGCAGAGAAAGGGGACAGGGGCACACACCTCAACAGCCTGGTGATGGAGAGCGGGAAGGGCAGCAACCTTTAAACCTGCCCTACACTGTCAGAATTTGGGGAGCTCCCTTCCTGAAATAACGAATTGCTTCCCTGCGTGTTCCAACATCCCTCACCTCAAACACAGTTGTCACTGAAATACAGCCTCCTTCTTGAGTTCCCAGCACACAAAGAACTTTATGCATTTAATTAAGTCACTGAATACTTTAAAAGGACAGAAAAAAAAGCTTGCTAAAGAATTAATTTCATCACAAAGAAAGAATACCACACAAGAATAAACAATTATCTGTTTAAAAGGTGCCATCAACAAGGAAGAACCAATTAACACAAGTTTGATTTCAAAATCCTACTATGCAATGGTTTTTAACTGGATTATTAAAAATACATAACTGCAATAGAATAACAAATTTGCATATTTTTGTATTTTAGTAAATAAAGCTAGTGTTTCTATCACTACTTAGAGCAGAGAAGCTTTCTGACCTTTTCTTCCATCAATTCAACTATTGTGCTACACAAGCAAAAATAATGTTTATTTCTTCGTATACAACAGCCCAAAGTAGGCGAAAATTTACACAACAGAAAACTTTGTCTAAGGACAGGACAGCCTTACGCAGTCATTCTGAGCAGTTTTCAAGAGAACCACTAAAATGGACCAATGGATCAGCACCTATTTGAATTAAAATACTACGGGTAAAACTGAAAGGATTATACCAAAGCAACACACCCACTTTTGCCAGGGACACCTGCTGTATTACACAAAAACCTCACCTATGTGTGGTTGCTGAGCTGCAGCCAGTGCATACTGCTGCTGCTGGGCTGCTGTTAACTGCTGAACAGTCAGAGCATTAGTCCTCTGGAAAAGCTATTGGAAAAGAACAAAAGATGCATTTCAGTTTTCAAAAGTCAGGGCTATAATATACTGGGATTTACTTAGAAAAAGAGATTTTAAAGCAAGTTTATATCCTAATAAGTTACTAAACTAGAAAATTACACACCAATATTCTTCTAGATTAAATACATATTTATTTGCCTTTGACTAAGTCACAAGCAAAATAAAATCCAATGCATTATATGCTTAAATGACTGATTTATCAAAGAGGATAATGCAAAACTTAAGGGACTAATCTGGTATGTTTTCAAGTCCAGTACTAACCTGCTGCTGAGAACTGTAGTCAAAAAGTCCTACAGTAGCTCCTGCAGAGTCCATTTGTACCTGATTGCCAGGATAGTCAAACTGTAGAGAATCAAGACCAACTTGTTCCATGGCATCTAGATTCTGATTTTCCGGATTTGAAAATTCTTCTACCAGAGGCTTGTGGGCTGTAGGATTGGGAAGTGGACCTAATCCTTCTGTGGTGCTGGGATTGGGGCCCAAGCGTTCAGCTACTTCTGTTGGGGAGGCTTGTCGGCTTCCAGGGGTACGACTGTTCAGAAGAAATTCAAGATAAGACTCTTCAGTCTTAAATGAAGCTGTCCATGGACAGAGTACAGCATTTCTATTTTACACGGATCTCTGAACTCAGAGACTTTACAAAGGGAAGTGACAGACTGATTTTAACAATTTTAACCAGCATGCATTGATGGCTCAAGATAAAGGACACATTTCAAAGTATGATTTTTTTTTTTTTTTTTTTAACTTTAAGACTGTACAGCTTTTCAAATCACTGTGAGAAAAACAAACTAATCTTTGAGGCTCTTTTGAGTGAAACGGAGTGAACTGCGGTCACCTGTAACTTTTGGGAATGGCTCTTTATCGCATTTTGGGAGCAACAGGAATTACTAGAAAATGTATTGAAGAGAAATTAGAAAAAAGAAAAAGAAAAAAAGAAATGGCTAAGTGCATCTCATGCCAAAGGAGAGAAAGAGACAGTAAAACTTCAACTGGAAAAGACAAACATACAATACAGAAAAGAAAAAATACAATATAGCAAGTATCTTTCACATCTGAAAAGCAAACAACACATTTTTTACCTTAAGTAAACTGGACTAATAACCGCCTTGTTTAGCATTTGACTAAAACATTTCATTTCCTACACAACACCAGATGATTAGTCAGGGGGGAAAAATTGTTCCTAATATAACCCCCTTGATTCCATCTCCGTTTCCCTAAAAATAAATACAGCCTGTTGTTCCAGAAGAAAATCTTTAGGATGGAGCAAAACGTAGGTGTTCGATTTCTGTTGACTGTAAGACAGATATGGAAATCATCTACTATGCCAAACCCCTGAAATTGCAGTTTCCAAATATGAAGCGCTGGTGGCGACTGAGATGTGGATAGCTATACTTAGGTATCTCTAGGTGCACTAGTGTTCTAAATTCCCATCAGAGGGTATGAAAATCTAGTCAACACCACTGACAAGACCTAGACAACAACTCAACTGACCAGTCACTAGGTGTTTACTTTAGGGTAAAAGCTGAATTGTTCTCTCATCTCCACCGGCTGTATTGACTATAGCCCCACTGACTACAGGCGAATCTGTGCTCCTATATACAGCTACAGGCAAACACCTAAAGTGAGGCGTCAATAGATTCCCATCCTAAACAGATTCTCAATCCTGTATTTGGTTAGATTTAGGGTAGCTTAATTCGGAATGGTACCCCACCTTCTGTGTCAGGCCACATTGTTTAGACTACCAATTCTCACTCACAAAAATCTAAGTCAACTACCAGGTAGGAGCTGAGTGAGAGAATCTATGATCCCTTAACAGCACTGCTGTGTTGGCAGAACTTAGCAATTATATATTGTTTCTCAGGAAACACACAATTTTCAGTTAAGTTTGCTTTATTTGTGAAAATTGGGCTCAAATACAAAATGCCATCTTGCAGGATGAAACTGCATTTATTCCAGCAGCACACTGCCAGACCAGCGCTGTGTACTGCTAATTCTAGGACAGAGACACAGCCTTACTACTACCTGTTCTCCTCCCTCTTCAGGGCTCCAAAGCTGAAGTATCTGTTCCTCCCTGAAGCACAAGACTAACGCAAAGAAGTCTGCTAGTACTTATGTATTTGCTGATACCAACTCTTAAAGCCATACAGCTAGGAAGTAGTCTTTAGTGAGTTTACTCAACAACACTGTATGATCTACTACTTTAAACAAAATACGTCAAAGAAAAGCAGTTATACTATATTTTTTTTAACATAACCAACCTCATGATGATCATCTGTAACATATTGGCTACCATCTAAGTATCCTAGCTAGAAACCATGTCTTGCTCAATGTACAACACTTGAGTTTGAAGCTACTTAATATTCCTTATTCTTCCCAAGTGACATACAGTATCAATGAATTGAAGAACAAAAGGCAGTTATTTCAGCACATATTTTAGTTTTTAAAAAAGCTGTAAGTACAATAAAAATACAAGGAGGAGGACAGGACAAAGTTTTTTTGTTAATACTTATGTTTACCTAATGTAGGTTGCTCTTTATATGGTGCTGTTCTGTTGCTATAGTTAAAGTTGTGTCAATACTTCAATTATAAACCTCTGTTTAGAGGGCTTTATACCACCACTTTATAGGGCCCACTTAAATTAGATGGCCTTATTTATTTTAAGAGGTTTACTGGCTTTGGATGCTTTTTTGCACTTGTGTATTTTTTAGTAATTTCTCCCTTTAAATAATACAAAAGGTACTTTGCAAGCAACTATTTCAAAATTGAAATAGATACTGGTAAAGAAAAGCAGGACAAAATTTATTCTGCATTTTCTACTGAAGGTAGAATAATGAATAATAATACTGAAGGTAACTTGGTTTATTGCGTGTATTGCAGCATGCATCTGAAAGGAGCTAATCTGAGCTCTCCAATATGCTTGGTGTTATATTCTTTTCAACAATACGTCTCCAAAAAAAAGACTTGAAGAATCCCTCCTCAGCCTCAGGTAAACACATTTTTTAAAGGGTAGAAAATACTTACATATGGGATTTAAACACACATTTTAATATACTTGTTCCAATTACAAATTAATGAAACCACAACTATTTGGTCATGTTCATCACATTAATACAAATTTATGAGCAGCACTCTAGTTTTCTAATCTTGTTAATTCTTTTGTCTGACAGTTACAAATGCATCACAGTCATTTAAAACCAAACATTATTCCTTTAAAAATATCCAATTGAAAATGTAGTTTAGTATTGGGGAAAAAACCAGGCTGGCTGTGCTGTTATATAGGAGTTCACAGTTGAAAAGCTCAAGCTTGGTCCAATTTTTTTTCCCTTAAGAAAACAACCGAATCACACCACCATTCTACACTGTGAATAGGTGACATTTAACTATGTGAATAGGGAAATACATTGTTTCTCCTTAGTCGAACAAATGGTTTTTAAACAGACTTTTGTGGGGAAATAATTGTGTTAGGCTGTGGTATTCACTAGCAAAATTAGAAGGAAAATTAAAATTCTGTAGGACTTACTCTCTACAACAACAGTCAGATGCAAGAGTATTAAAAAGAAGCAGAGAGAGAAAGGAATTTAGTTTGAAGTTAAAAGGGTTAAAGTTTTCATCCCTCTTTAATTCACCACATTTTGAAGGTACCCATTTACTTCGAATAATTACTATATTAAGATGAATTTTTCTCATGAGAAGTGACACACACATTCATGACATCCTAAGAAACATGTGGCACAGTGGGAAAGGGAGGACGTGAGGTAGGAAGAATCAACCTGCAGCTGGGTAATGTTTAAAGCTGACACACAAACCAGAACTGTAATAATGCCCTTAAGAGACATGCTCGTCTTCTTGAGAAACAGTTAAAAGCTTACTTAAAATCTTTGCAATCGGCATCCATTCCATTTGGCAAACCTCTGCCATTTATTTTAGTAACATCCTCATCATCTCCTTGTTTAAGATCTCTGTTTTTGTCCTCCTCAAATGGAGAAGCCTTGCCTTTCTGATCTCCTTTCTCAGGTCCATCTGTTTCAGCATCTCTAGTGCCCTGAGGAAAAAGAATCTGTTTGATTCTGAATATTGAACAGAACACAATAGGAGCACCACAAGGTGACCTAATTCTACACTACAGTGCACGTAAACAATACAAACAGTTTGTTTTCAATGAAATTGCATTTGGTGGGTAACTTGGTCATCAAGTTTCAACCACATGCAATTAATAACTGCCAAAATGTGAAAAGGAATGCCAAGATTTATAATGGAAGAGCTAACTCAACCTTAACTATAGCGGTGCTGTTAAAGCAGTAACACCTCGAATTAGATACAGTTTATTTTTTTTACACTTAAAACATCTAGCACAAAACAAACCCGCATGGAAACATAGAATAGGAAGATCTAAAATAAAGCCCATCACACATTTTAAATTAAGCTATTCGCAATCTTTTTCCTATCTTTATTTAAAGGTGTTAGAAAGTACTTTTTAAAGACTTTTTAAGATTTAGTCACGATTCCCAAACCACTTCCCTCTTCTGCCCCCTCCAGCCAAGGAAGACAGACACAGATAGCAACTGCACACTCCTTTCTAAAGGAAAATGGACAAATAAGAGCAGAAAATATAAGCATATAAGACAGTAGGACCATAGTAGGTAACTAGGCAAGCTTAACACACCGCATTACTTACAAAAGCTCCTTTCCTAAACCGGGAATCCAATTTATCAGCTGGAGAGGAACTTAACACATATTCTACCATGCTCACTCCAAGGCCACCACTTTCTGATCGTGGAGACAACACAGCATTTACTTCACTGTTTCCATGAAAACCCTGTCCAGGCTTTCTCTGTACCATAATAGGTTGGGACATAGAATGGTCTGTTAAAAACAAATAAATAAATAAAACTATTGTATTTTTTAAAAATTAACTCATAATGTTTTTGCATTTCGTTACAGAGGCAATATTAAACAAGATCAATACTAAATTAAATTAAAAATTCCAAATCCCAGCTTCAAAAAAGTGTTATTGGCACACAACCACCAATGCAGTGTACAATTTCACAATTAAAATTAAAGGAAAATAAAATTCAATACATAATACACATTCATTAACGTTGAAATAACATTTAGTAAACATGACTGATTAATCAACACGTATACATCAATCACTTACGAGGAGTTCCCCATGCAGTCTCTCTCCACTCATCACCAAGGAATATCCCTTTTTGTCCATCTTTTGCTGGATCATCAGGTTCCCAAAACTTTTTGGCTGGTAAAAGCTGTTCCAAAAGAGAAAATGGTTTTATTTAAAAATGCTTATGAATAGGCAAAAAATAGCAGTATTATTAAGTGGATATGCAAGTAACTGATTTTAGATACCACAGTCAGCTTCATGTAAGGAAGCACGCCTTGCCAGGGAATAACTGTAAACCCCTAAAAGTTCTGTTCTGTTACTGAAGCTGATGCTGTATAAAGAAACTGCTCAAATGACCCCAACAAGACTGAGATTCTGAAGGTATGGAGGAGATACAAAATACAGAAGCAGCTGTGAACAAAGCTCATCAAATTAATCCCTGTGTTAAACCAAGTCAATCCTCTCAGAAACTTTAACTAACGCTGCCTTCTTTCCATGTTGGCTCAAAAGCTTGGCCTTTAACTAATACTGTCATGATAACCAGGAGCAGCAGCAGCTCACTGTAAAGTTCTGCTCACTCAGAAATGCATCATGTTCCAAATTTTAGAAAGCAACTAACTACACACGGTGGCAAGCCAGCTCCTTTAGACCACAGGGATCTGCCGGTTACAATCCACGACCTTTAAACTTGAAGTTCCACATACCAATGATTTCATTTAGCTGTATGATTTTTTTTTTCACTACTAGTTTTAAATCCAAAATTTTCAAGTTAGACCAGTCTCACTTCTTGTACTGTCTTTGATGACAGAAGACTTAGTGCGACATGACAGAAGCACCGCACAAACAAAGGGTCTTTGCTCAAGAGCTTGTGGGGCTCCACCGGTCTTGCCTGTGACAAGCTGGGGGATGATACGGCACAGTAAAGAGGGACAGGGTGCTAGCGAGGGCCCTCAGCCTGTCGCTCTGAGGCGTGCTGGGTACACTGCAGCGCACCTGAAGTCTTACAGAGGTGACCCAGGCACTTCTGAGGTAAGAGGAGCCAGCAGGGAAACACCGGTGAAATCCCTCAAAGGAATTAAGTGGTCCTCTAAGGAGACACAGCCAACAGCCCAGTTGCAGTGCCTCTACACCAGTGCACACAGCACGGGCAACAAACAGGAGCAGTTGGAAGCCACTGTGCTGCTAGAAAGACACAACCTGGTTGCTGTTACTGAAACTTGCTGGGAGGAATCCTGTGACTGGAGTGCTGCTACTGATGGCTACAGGCTGTTCAGGCGAGGAAGGAGGGCAGAGGTGTTGCCTTCTACATCAAGAAAAGGACAGAGCGTGAAGAGCTGTCTCTGAACACCAGCCACGAGCAGGTTGAAAGCTTATGGGTAAAAATCAGAGACCGAGGCAACACAGGGAACCTTGTGGCTGGGGTCTACGACAAGCTGCCTGACCAGGGGACGAAGTCTTCTTACTCCAGCTACAGGAGGTTTTGTGCTCGCAGGCTCTCGTCCTGCTGGGGGACTTCAGCCACCCCAACATCTGCTGGAAAAGTAGCACGGTGAGCTGTAGGCAATCCAAGAGACTCCTCGAGTGCATGGAGGATAACTTAAGCCAGGTAACAGACAGCCCTACTAGAGGGGATGCCATACTGGACCTGCTGGTCACCAATGCGAGTGAGAGAACCGGTGACATCAGGATTGGAGGCAGCCTGGGTTGCAGTGATAACGCGCTGGTGGAGTTCAGAGTCCTGAGGAATACGGGTCAGGCAAAGACTAAAGTCAAGACCCTGAATTTTAGGAAAGCAACCTTCCAGCTCTTCAAGAAGCTAGTCAATAGGACACCCTGGGAAGTTGCTCTCAGGGACAAGGGAACAGAACAGAGCTGGCAGATCTTTAAGGACACTTTCCATAGAGTGCAAGAGCTCTTGATCCCCAGGTGCAGGAAATCAGGAAAGCAAGGCAAGAGACCAGCATGGCTGAGTTGAGACCTGCTGGGCAAACTGAAGGGCAAGAAGGAAATGCACAGGCAGCAGAAGCAGGGACAGGTATCCTGGGAAGAGTAGAGGGACATTTCCTAGTGTAGGGATGGGGTCAGGAAGGCTACCGCACAGCTGGAGCTGAACTTGGCAAAGGATGAAAAGAAGGGCTTCTACAGATATGTCAATCAGAAAAGGAAGGGTAAAGAAAGCGTATCCCACCAACAAGAAAGACTGGCAAGCTGGTAACAACAGACGAGGAGAAGGCTGAGGTACTCAACTTTTTTGCCTCAAACTTCACTGGCAACCTCTCCTCCCTCACCTCTCATGAGGATGGGCTGCAAAGTCCCTCCCACTGTAAAGAGAGGATCAGGTTTGTGATCACCTAAGGAACCTGAACATCCGTAAATCTATGGGAAACGATGAGGTGAATCCCAGGGTCCTGAGGGAATTGGCTGAGGTAGTCGCCAAGCCACTCTCCATGACATTTGAAAAGTCACTGCAGCCAGGTCAAGTCCCTGGTGACTGGAAAAAGGGAAACATTGCACCCATTTTTAAAGAGTAGAAAGAAGGACCCTGGGAACTACCAACCTGTCAGCCTCACCTCTGTGCCTGGGAAGATCATGGAATAGATCCTCCTAGAAGCTACGCTAATGAACGTGGAGGACAGGGAGGTGACTGGTGACAGCCAGCATGGCTTCACCAAGGAGAAGTCTTGCCTGAACAACCTAGCGGCCTGCAATGACAGTGACTACATCAGTGGACAAGGGAAGAGCTACAGATGCATCTATTGTAACTTCTGTAAGGCCTTTGACACAGTCCCCCACAACACCCTTCTCTCTAAATAGGAGAGATTTGGATTTGATGAGTGGACTGTACAGTGCGTGAGGAATTGGTTGGGTGGTTGCATCCAGAGGGTCTGAACAACCTAGCGGCCTGCAATGACAGTGACTACATCAGTGGACAAGGGAAGAGCTACAGATGCATCTATTGTAACTTCTGTAAGGCCTTTGACACAGTCCCCCACAACACCCTTCTCTCTAAATAGGAGAGATTTGGATTTGATGAGTGGACTGTACAGTGCGTGAGGAATTGGTTGGGTGGTTGCATCCAGAGGGTAGTGGTCCATGGCTTGATGTCCAGATGGAGATCAGTGACGAGTGGCGTCCCTCAGGGGTTCGTACTGGGAGCAGTGCTGTTTAATATCTTCATCGTAAATGTAGATGGTGGTATGAAGTGCACCCTCAGCAAATTTGCAGATGACACCAAGCTGAGTAGTGCAGTTGACATGCCTGAGGGACAGGATGACATCCAGAGGGACCTCAACAAGCTTCAGAATTGGACCTGTGTGAACCTCATGAGGTTCAACGAGGCCAAGTGCAAGGTCATGCACCTGGGTCAGAGCAACCCCTGGTATCAATACAGGCTGGGGGATGAAGGGATTGAGAACAGCCCTGCCGAGAAGGACTTGGGGGTACTGGTGGACGAAAAACCGGACATGAGCTGGCAGGCCACAAGGACAATCGTACTGTGGGCTGCATCAAAAGAAGTGTGGTCAGCAGGTAGAAGAAAGTGATTCTGCCCCTCCACTCCGCTCTCATGAGACACCACATGGAGTGCTGTGTCCAGCTCTGGAATCTTGAGTACGCAAAAGACATGGACCTGTTGGAACGGGTCCAGA